GCTTTGCTAAGCTTGTTCTAAGTAGGTGCTTTAGACCACTGAGCCATCTCACCAGCCCCTGTCTAAGCCATTTTAATTGTTACCTTCTACGCCTCAGGCCCCACACATCGTGGTACCAGTGGGAGATGGCCCATTTTCCTGAAATAGTTGATGCAGCATGCTGGCCTGGTCTCCTGACCGGAAGAATGGCTCTTTGGGAGCTGGACAGTTCTTAGACATTTTTAAAAATTCAAAATAAATCATCACCTCTTATTTTCTAGGCAAGGAAACTGAGACTTGGAGAGGAGGGCGACGGGGCCAGGGTCACCCAGCTGGAGAGTGGTGGGATCGAGACCCTCCCTCTAAGTCTGCAGCTTTCTACGTGCTACCAATGCTCCGGACTTGTTCTGAGGGTGGAAAAATGCCAGGCAACCTGGCAGCGCGGAGTTGACCGAGGTTCCCTGTCTTCCTGCTCAGCTTCCCCGGCCGGGCCCCTTCCCTGTCTTCCTCTTGTTCTCTAGCTCGTTCTCTCTGCCCCCCTGGGTAGCAAATGTTCAGCACAAAGTTGCTTCTTGCCTGATTGCATCTGAGAGCTGGAAACACAATGCTAATTAATGTATCTGTGACTCTAGGCTTGGCTACCGGGTTGGTCCTCGTACTCTCCCCGGAGCCGGGCAGAGTCTGCAAACCAGCCCTCTGACTTCTCCAAGCACGCTGCCGGCAGATGCATATTTTAACAATGCACATCTGTTGGCTATATAATCTCTCGTATTTGCCCTCCTCACTTGGTGCTTTGATGGAAGACCCCCGGGGGCTTCCCTCTGCTCCAGCCAGTGTATTTGCTTTGCAATTTTGCTGGAATACTGTCTGATTGTGCACTCACATCCGCTGCAGGTTCTAATCAGGCTCTTACTTTATTTAATTAAAAATCTATCTCAGGCAAATACAGACTAAATTAGGAAGCTCTCTCATTCCTGGTAGTGGGGAAGGCAGCCCCCCTTGGGGAACTGGCTGGGACATTTTCCCCAGCTGAGATGTCACAGCAAAGCAGATGGGGTTTTGGTTGGGAAAAGAGGCAGCTGGACCAGGGTACACAAACACCTCTGTCCCCCATGTGGAACAGCTGTTCTGTGTGCCAGCATCACAGGGCTGGGGGTCCCTTCCAGTGGTCTGCACAGCTTCCACTCGCAAGGCCTTTCTCTAGGGCAGAAGGTGGGGCCCTGCGCCTGGAGAAATTCAGCCAGGTAGAGCCCTGCAGAACGAGGGAAGGGCCCACAGGATGGGTGGGATGCTGAGATGTGGGAACAGGAGCATTCGCCCCAAGCAGTGAGGCAGAGCTGCTGGCAGATTCCAGAGAGCGGCAGCTCTTTTTTCTTTTTTTGCCCGGGGTTTAGTTTGCTCAGGATGAGTGGTGCTTTTGGAAAAACCATGACAGGCTGATAGACAAGACCCCTGCTCAGCCTCCCTTGCTGGCTCTCAGGAAGTCTACCAAGGGGACCTTTAGGCCCTCTATAATCAGCCTTCCTTTAGTGGAGCTCCACATGTGCAGGAATGCCTCTCTCAAACAAAGCCTGCTCCATGCCCAGAAGGCAGTGCCAGGCCAGACCGGTGCAGAGCCAGATGTGACCCAAGACAAAACCAAGTCTGTTCAGGTGGCTCTGCGGCCCTGCTCTGAGAGGCCTGGTGCTTAACCAGCAGAACAGATGTCATTTTGCTAGCATTTGGGACCAGGAGGTGACAAAGAGCATTGGTCTGGAGTTGGAGAATGTGGAGTTGATTTTAAATGTTAATTAAACAGTGTGACCTCCTCCAAGTGTCTCTGCCTCTCTGAGTCTCCCTGTTTCCTTATCTGTAAAACATATGGAAGAACTTGGACTGCTCACGTGCTGGACATTGTGGTTTACTGTGATAGAGAAGTAAAAGGCAGTGGCCATGCTTGGCTGGCGAGGCTCCTGCACCTGCAGGAGGAGACGAGTCCTGGGTCCCCTGAATGGGCTCAGGGTGGCCAGAGCTTCCTAAGCTGTGCTCTTTCTAGGGCTCTTGGTTCTCGCTAGAAGGTGAGGCAGCAGGCTGAACTGTCTGAAGGTGGAGACCCTGCACTTCTTCTCAGCAAATCTGTCCTGGCATTTGTACATCCCCAAATCAGAAAACAAAACAAAACAAACCAACTGAACCTAAGTCCTGCTTCCTCCTCCTTGAACCCTACCCCAGATTGTAGACTTGTTCCCAATTTAGCCATTCTCCCCAGAGGAAAGAGAATGGCTCACTGCCCTTTAGCATTCCTGGCTGCTCCTCCAGAGGTTGCCCAGCCTGTAGACCCGCAGGATGACTTATTTTTCCACCCTTTTCTTCGAAAGCCACAGGAGACTCCAGGGCTAGAGGGGGTTGGGAAGGTTGGCACTGCTCCCCTTCTCTGTCTCAAGATACCCAGCTCTGAGCTGGTAAATGGTCCTGAGGGGCCCATCTGTTGTCCTGCGTGAAAGGGCCTGCCCTGGTGTTTGGCCATGTAGATTTGAAGAGGACCTGACATGCTCTTAAATATTTCATTTCTGAGCAGCCGTGAGCCTTATCTGCAGGCCACGAGGCAGCGTCCCAGCTGCCAATCTGTCGTCAAGCCTCTGCGGCAGCTGCCAAGAGGAGGCCGGCAGCCGGGCTTCCCTCTTCTGGCGGCCCCAGCTCTGCCCATATGTGCCTGGCAGAGGCTCTTCTATGAGAAGTCCCGGCCTGGGAACCCTGAGCCAGACCGTTGCTTCTCAGAGCCTCAATTTCTCAGCTGGGGTAGCAGCCTCTGGTTCCCAGAATAGCTTAGGAATAACTGAGGTGGTGCGTGCAAGAGAGCTTTGACAGTTGCTGTGAACCACGGTGCAAATGGAGCTATTATTACTCATGTGCCAGGCTTCGCCCTGCAGCCCCGAGTCTCCAGAACATCTGGCCAGAGGAGGGAGATGACCGGGACTGAACTTCCCATCACAGATAAGCAGCTTGTGGGGCCACTGGGCATGCCCATTCCTCAGGCAAGTCTGCTGAATGAAGGAAAGGGGACACTGAGCAAAAGACTTCGGGAGAAAAAAGTATGATTTGGAACCAGGCCTGACATACATTTTCCTGCAACTCATCCTTGAACCAGGATTTTCAGGAGAAGAGGTCAGGAGGGGTCACTGGTAGTCTCTCAGGGGCACCAGCATCAGCTTGGGGGTGCTCTTTCAGGGGACAGGGCAAGGAGATTTGCTTGCACCCTGGGGGGAATAAGCCCAGAAGGATGTGTAGACCGTGCCAACCTCCTTTTAGCCCCACTGCCTAGGTCCTGGTCACACAAGTAGAGCACTCAGGAATCCTCCGCAGCTCCCTAAGGCACAGTTACCCACACAGGGATTTCCAGGGCCAGGAGTCATCTCCTGTCCTCTGTGGGTGGGGAGAGGGGCAACAGTGGCTGGTGGCCTGTGAGCTACCACTTTGCAGCAGCCCCTCCCACAGCCGGGCTGGATGACGACTCCAGGGCTGAGGCCTTGGTGCTTCCCAGAGCATCCTTGCCTCCCGCATGACGGCTCTTACCTAGCACGGTGAGACGCGCAGGGCGGGACCGGATGGCGGCCTGGATGGCCTGGCACTCGTAGACAGCATCGTCCTGCAGCTCTGCCCGCAGGATCTTCAGGTGGTGCTCCCCTGACAGGTGGTTCCCCACCACCAGGTACTGCGGGTAACCTGCAGGAGACAGCAGGTATGTGAGTGAGGCCCAAGAGCCCTCCCGCGCTAATCGACTTTTTTAGCTTAACTCCAGGGGGCTATTTGGAGATGCCACAAACACCACAGACAGAATGGCTCTGAAAGGCTGTCCTTTTGCAAAAAGAAATGTACACCTGATAAACAGGGACACTGGCAGAGGCTTTTCTATCTGATCCTGCCACCTGCCTAGGAAAGATCTTTTCACAGGAGGGACAGATTGTGGGTCTGACACCTGGCCCATACCGAGAGGACTGCAGGTGGCCCTGTGATGACTGATACCTGAGAGACTGGAGCTGCATAACAAGGCAGCCTCTGCTGGTTGCTTTCTGCTGCCCCTTCTTCCACACCCCTCCATCAGCCTCAAGCCCCTGTTTTTTCCTGTAGCTCAAAATGCCATGTAAGCCTCAACTCTCCTGTTCTTTCTTTGAGCTTCACACTTTGTGGATGGCTCCTGCGTTCCCGCACTTTAGTACACTTATATGCCTTTATCTCTGGTAATCTACCAATTGCCAGTTTGCTTCGTGGGTTAAAATGATTGGAACTGCAAAGGGAAAAGAGAAAAATGTAAATATCCCCCCCCCATGGAGGAACATTTGGACAAACAGGACAGCAGTGGGAGCCCCCAGCAGGTGACTGCTCAGGGTGCTGATCTTAGCGTAGGGGGTGCACAAGCCACGGCTTCACAGGGTGTGTGTGTGTGTGTGTGTGTGTGTGTGTGTGTGGTTATTGCTGGCTAGAAGTTTAGGAAGACCATTAGAAAGGAAGGGCAGGAGACACAAATGCTAATTGTGGTCAGATACAGTTCGCTGGGTTATTGTTCTGGAAAGCGCTCAGTGCTGTGGTCTACTAAGGAGACATGCATCATTCGGATAGGGAGACCAATGGCGGTGGGGAGGGAGAGAGGCCAGCCTGGAGGTTTGCAGAGAAAAGACAGAATAAGAGAGAGAAGGAAGGAAGAGATATTTGGAAAAGAATCAACAGTGACTTGGGGGGAAAAGTTTTGTTCCAGGACAGACAGGAAGTAGAAATGAATGCCCTGGTGAATCTCTGGGCACTTAGAACTTTAAATGGCCCTTTTTGAGCCTGTCTTCTTCTCCTTCTTCTCCTTCTCCTCCTTCTCCTTCTTCTGCTCCTGCTCCTGCTCCTGCTCCTCCTCCTCCTTTTTTTTTTTTTTTTTCAGAACCAGGGATTGAATTTAGGTCCTTGTGGATTGCCAGGGAAGCACTTATTGCACTGAGCCATCTCCCCAGCCCTCTAAATGGCCCTTTTCTAGTTACTCCTACTACCCAGCCTCGAGCTCCAGGGCCTGATTAAGCACTTATGAGATACTTGGGACACTTAGGAATTTGGGGCCCCCTCTACCACTGGCAATGAATAATAGATAAATAAAAGTTGGAAGATGCTAAATCATTAATCAGCTTTTCCACTGCTGTGCAGGGTTGAATATAAATACCAACTTGAGTCGTAACTGCCTAGGTGGGGCCGTTGCTCCCCTGCCTGCGTGTTGGGCCCTAAGCCTTCTTAGTTTGTCCTGGAAGCATTCATTTCTCACCTCCCTCTCACCAGAGCTCTGGGGCGCCCCATCCCTTGCACCAAGGATTTGCAAGTGGGCATCTGCACCCACACTTCCTCCCATCCTGGTCTCCTCCCATCAGAGTCCACTCCACTTTCACCATCCTTTGGCAGCTCAGACAGCTGCTCTTTCTGCAGGACCCTTAGCAGAGCAGTGGGGATTTTCAGAACACCCCATGGGAGGAGAGGGTTGGACGCATCAGGTCTCTACAAGAGGAGCTGAGGATGGGGTGTGGGGGGAGATGCTCTCTTCAAATATTTCCAAGTCCCGTGATGCCTGAGGGTCAGGTGGCTCCCAAGGACAGCACTAGCACCTGGCAGCATTAGCAGCAGGAAGCAGCTTCAGATGTCCCTAATTATTTCAGGTGTCCAAACAAAGATCTGGGTAGGTTGCCAGGGAGAGTGGAGAAATCCTCATTACTGGCTATATTCAAACAGAGGTTGGATGATCACCTCTCTGCTGCAAAAATGATTTTTACCCTGGGTAGAAGATTGGGCTAGGTGCACTCTGAGGTCCTTTTGCCTCCCTTAACCTAGGGGGGCAGGGTACTCCGGGGCTAGCTATTCCAGGGGCCACCGATGCCTATTTCTGGCCTGTGAAGAAGGGTACTTTGAGCCCTGGTACAGCTCCCAGAATGCTCTGGGGATGTTTCCCATACAGCTGATCCCTTCATGGCTACCACTGTCCCCTCACGCCACCAAAAGGCTTGTTCTCCACAGCTGTGCAGGCCTGGCCAGGAATGCTCCAAGGGCACTGGCTGCCACCCGTGTGCCCTGAGTATGTTCCCATCCTTCCTGCCACCCTCCTGCCCTGTGGTGCGGGGGCGGGAGCCCAGGTAGGTGACCCTGGCTCTCCTTGCACCGGGTTCCGTGCGCTCCTCCACCAGCTTCCGCTGCCCTCCCTGTCAGTACAGCTGGCTAGTGCTCCCGCCCTGCAGCCCAGCCTGAATCCCGGGTCCTGTGATTATTCCCTCATCTCCTGCAGGCATCTTGGCTGGAGCTGGTGTTTTTGTTGTCTTGCGAGCTATCAGCAGCAGGATTTCGCTCTCATGAGCTGCTGAAAACATCAGTGATGGGTTTGTTTGTATTTGCCTAATTAGGCAGCGAGCTGTGATGCTATCCCTAGGACTGGCAGCATCTTTGGAAAACAGACTCCGAAGCCTCGATTCCGGGACTTTCTAGCTCCCCCACAGCATCGTTAATCTCTGTCTACTCCCAAAGGAGGCCAAATTATCCGGAGTGTGAGTTCTACAGTCAAACTGCCTGGGTCCAACGCAGCTTATCACTTCCTTACTCTGTGGTCCGGCTCTTGTTATTTTAGCTTCTTGTGCCTCAGTTTCCTTGTTGGTGAACTGGCGGTAGTGCTAGTAGCTCATAGGTGATAGCTGGGTGGCACAACCTGTACAAAGGGTCCTGCACAGTCAGTCGTCTATAGACGTCAGCTCAATAAAGGCAGGGGCTCTGTTTCTGTAAGGGAGACCCAGTGGGGCACAAGGACCATTTGGGACTGGCAAGAGGGGCTCCATGCACTGGAATTGGTTACCTAGTTGAGTCAGTTTTTTTCTTGACTGTGACTTTGTTTACCTGTCAAAGAAAGGGAAAATCCTTTTCTTCCTGTAGACAACTGCAGATTTATGAGATAATATTTGAAAAGCATTTGAGCTTCTTAGAAGAAAAGCGCTCCATCTGTACGAGGGAGCACACTTATAAATCATTTTCTCTGACTGTTTCGTCTTGGTGACTAGAGGAACACTTGCTGTTCCTAGCGAGGACATCACTCCTAGTAGACCCAGTGGGGTGACACAGTTGAAATGGAAAAGATGGAGCTGCGGCACGGGAGGTCTTGCGACCGTGGGCCTCAGTTTCCCCACAGGAAGAGTCCTGCAAACTCTCGCCGAGTTGCTCTGAGCAGTTGTGCTCCCTCCCTTCTCGGCCAAGCGAGCAGCATTTCCTGAGTGTCTAAGTGTGCATCGTTATTGTCCAGATGGCATCTGGGGGACAAGTGACCAAGTACAGAGCCACCGTTTGCCAGGAGCTCGAGCTCAGGAGCTGTGCGGGGAGAGGGGCTCCCTTTTCTCCCGTAACCGGAGTCTAGCTGGAGAGGAAGCAGACCCCGGCCCATCAGAACCCTGTGGCTTTTTGTTTGTTTGATTTTTAAGTATGGAGCAGGTTCCAATCCTAGATCCCAGAAGCCGCTTAGGAGCAATTATCCAGGCCGTGATGAGCACTCTGAACTGTCTCTGGTGGCATGGCAGCTCCTGACCAGAGGCTGAGAACCGCTAACCAGGAAGGGGACAGCCTCCCTAAGTAGCCTCCCTAACTAGCCCCCCTAACTAGCCTCCCTAACTAACCTCCCTAACTAACCTCCTTAACTAGCAACAGGGCCCGGCCAAGTATACAGCCACCCAAGGCAGGAGCAAGTCTCCTTTGGAAAGGTCGTGCTGTTCTCCTCATTTCTCTAGAGCAAGGAAGTTCAGAGCCTCTGAGGTTGGCGGGTTCCCATAGCACTTAAGCTTTATGGCCGCACAGTATATTTTGGAGATATTATTGTGTATTTTATCCATGCTCAGCTGGGCTACAGTATTCAAACCCTGTGACTGCTATTGACCATGGCTATAATGTTTCAATATACATTTTTGGCAAGACATAACTCACATTTTAAAATATTAATTTCCCAACCATCATGTTCCTGAGTGCACTTCGATTTTTATTTTTCTGCAGCTGTGCACCAGGAGTGAGGCAAAGCTACTTCTCTACTGAATACATATTTTTCACTCATCCTCCTCCCCTGGCCATTCCCAGCTCACCAGGGGAGGACACCAAACCTTAGCAGCCTTGTGCCTATTGGCCCGAGGGTGGAGGAGTTATGACTGGCAGGCAAGAGGGTTCTTTCCCTTTTCCTCCTGGGGAAGGAAGGAGGGATCGGAAAGTGGTTTGCACAGTTGTACAGGGTGGTCATGCACAGTAGGTAATACCTGACACCAACCAGGGCATCTATGTCTTCACTGTGGATACCTCCTGAATCTTATTTTCCCCCCATGACAAGATGACCCTTATGGTCTGCCGGATCTCTTCATGAATTATGAGTTTGCTTGGCTCCCTTATTGGTTGAGAACCTGGATCAGGCCTTGAAGAATGAGGGCTGCATTATGGGCCAAGAAGCAAAGCGAGGAGCCAGACTTGAAGCGAGTCGTGTCTGGCTCTGGAATAGATACTCCAGGGTGACCCTGGGCTGTGTTTTGGATTCACCACTGGAATGCAGGGTTTCCTTGTGGTCTGCCACTTGTCACCAGAGGGCCTTCAGCTCTGGAATTCTAGATCTAGCTGGTGTCTGCCTGGAGCGGCCAGGCGAGCTGGAGGCTTGATCTCCAAACATGGGGGCAGAAGGTGGGTTTTCTCTAGGGAGATAGCTGGGTGGATAAGCCGGGCCTGCCTCCCTAGAGGGGTGGTGTGCAGGTACTCACTTGAGAGGTCTCTGCCCACACCCAGGGCCAAGCCGTCTTTGATCCACAGAACGAAGCCATCGTATTCAGGGATGGCACACAGCAGCGTCACCGGCTGTCCGGACACCACCACCTGGTCCTGGGGCTGCTGGCTGAAGGAGTAGACTTGGCCTAGGAAGGAGACAAGCACAGCAGTGAGTTCCGTGCTAGGAGCAGCCCTCAGAGGCCCCTCTCAGCCTCCGGAGGCAGAGCTGAGGCTGGCCCAGGTGGCCAGGCCTCCCCATCCTGCCCCACTCTGCCACTTCTGCTGGAGACTTTCACCCTCAGCTTCATCCTCCATCAGGGCTGGTTCCTAAGCGCAGCCTGTGTGCTCAGCAGTCCCTGGGGACCAACCACACCCAATCCCCAAAGGCCACCCAGCCACCCTGGGGATGCGCTCCTGCCTTTTCCTTGGGTGGTGTAAGTCAAATATGGGTATGCGGGGCCTCAGTGTGGTTTTAGCAGCTGCAGGCTGGGCCTAGAGCAGACCCTGGAACATGGAGGGTGGTGGCGTGCTGGAGGGAGCTGCTGGCTGGGTTGTGCTGTGCCTTCCGGCCTCCTCCTTCCTACAGGGGGCTCTACTCAGCTCCCCTGGGGGTCGCCTGTGGGGCCCTTGACTGCTTTCTGCCCCCGACCCCAGACAGCCATTGGTTCATGTTTTATTAAAGCAGCTCCCTCATGGTGTGAACACGAGGCCAGGCTCTGAGCGAGGGTTTTCGAATATTAGCTCATTAATAGTTTCATACTCATAGCAACCTAAAAATAGCAAGCACTGTTTTTGTTCTCATTTTGGGGATGAGGCACAAGGAGGTGAGAAAAAGTAACAGGATCCGTGCTGGTGAGTGACTTGGCTCTCTGGGGTGCTGTGCCCAGCTACGGGTGTGACAGTATGGCAGCAAGAGCACAGTGAGTGACGTCAACCCTGCCCTACAGGGGCCGGGAAACAGGGCTCAGGGCTGGGCGGTTCACCCAGGGGCTCGCTCCTTGCAGCTGAGGTGGGGAGCCCACACCTTCCTGGTCCTGAGCATCAAGTTCTCAGCCCCCGGGAGGTGTGCATGCAAATCCCGAGGCCTGGTGGCTCCAGGGGCTAAGAAGGGTGGTGATGGGGTTCACGCTCCCTGAGACGCCGCTGGATAAGAGGGCACCGACATTCACCAGGTGCCCAGCGTGAAGAGGGGTCAGGCTTTGCACAATCCTTCTGTGGTCCATTCTACATACTTCAGGGAAGAAATAGACCCATTTTGTAAGAGTGAAGCCCAGCTCTGAGAGCACAGCACCCTCCACCACACTCACTCTGAGTGCTGAGCCCGCCCTGCCCTGTAGATACAGACGCAGGGATCTGGAGCCCGGGGGCCTGGGGAGCCTGGGGGGCCTGGGGAGCCTGGGGGGGGCCCTGGGGAGTTCGGGGGGGGGGCCTGGGGAGCCTGGGGGGCCTGGGGAGCCTGGGGCGCCTGGGGGACCGATGCTGCCTGTGCTCTCCTCTCTGCTGGAACCACCGAGGTCCTGGACACCAGCAGCTGCTCACGTGGGATCCACACACAGGGCTGCGCACCCAGCAGGGCGTGCCTCAGGAAGGGAGCTGGGGCATCGGCAGAGGCTGTGGCGGGCCCCCCCAGAGTGGGGTCCACTCCATGTGGAGCCCGGGCTGCAGGCAGGTGGCTGGGTTCAGAGCCTGGTGGGGCCTGGCTGCGTCTTCTGAGGAGGCTCATTAAAAATCAAATTGGCCTTGAATTGTGGGAGTAACACTTTTTATTCAGATTTGAGCTTTACAAATTAGATTTCATAGGACATTTTAATCAGCTTTGTGTGGTGGATTTTCTCTCTCTCTCTCTCTCTCTCTCTGTCCCTGTCTCTTCAAGTTTTCTGTTGTAATTAGACTGTTTCTGGCACCAAAACAAGAGCGAAAGGAGGAAAGAGATGAGAGACAAGGAAGCGGGGGAGGGGGCAGGTGAGAAAGGGAGCTGGAGAGGAAGAAAGGCGGGCAGGAGGAAGAGGAGGAAGAGAGAAAGGGCGGGAAGTGGGGAGGAAGGAGAGGAGAGGTGAGAGGATCCCTCCCCCAGCTCTAATGATGACTCTACAGCGCAATCTTTTATCTCAAAATCTTTCTGGGAAGGACCGTGTCAAAGCAGCTGCGGCAGCCTCCAAAGACTGTACTATCAGAGAGAATTATCAGGTTGTCAGCTGGGCAGTGCAGGGGCCCTAATGAGAAGGCCGGAAGCAGGCAGCGCGTGAGCCCTCCCCGCCGTCCCCTCTTAGGGCTGGGAGATCGCCCACTCGCCTTCTTGCCTCCACCTGGGAATTGGGGTGTGGGGCGGTCACCACAGAAAGCGGGCTTTGGAGGACACCACAGGGCCGGGAGGAGGGCCCCATGGGTGTGGCCTCCACATCATGACCACAGAGGTGGGCTTTGAGTGGCCACAGAGCCCTGTCGGAGGGTGACAGAAGCAGGAGTGGGGGCAGACACGGATTCCAGGAATGACACGCGGGGCCGGAAGGAGCGGGGCAGAGCAGGGGACCGGAGACGGCTTGGGGTGCAGGAGTGTCTCCAGTGGACAGAGCCCACAGTGACACCCTAAGACGTCAGTGCTCAGCTCTGTCTGCTGGACTTCCTACGGAAAGAGTGTTTGAGGGGAGGAGTAGGGTCGAGTACTCAGGGTTATCTCCACCCGTGGAGCTCAATTAGTATGATTTTTTTTTTTTTTTTTTTTCAGAACCGGGCATTGAACTCAGGCCCTCGCTCTTGCCAGGGAAGCGCTTATTCCACTGAGCCATCTCCTCGGCCCCTAGTATGATTTTTTGAGGGAGGTAGTATTACAATCGACAATTTTCCTTTTCTTTTCGATTTTGGTTTTTGTGTGCTATGATTAAGCCACCAATGTTCTTTTTTCTTTTTCTTTTTCTTTTTTTTTTTTTTTAACCAGATGTGCTTTTTCAGATTGATGTATTTTCTTTTTCTCTTTGCCGGGCTGGGGCTGAAACCAGCTCTGGGGCATGCTAGGCAAGCCCTTGGCTGCTGCAGGCAACGCCCAGCTACCGAGCACATGGAGTGGGCTACAGCTGGGCGCTCTGGGAGGAGCGGGCAGAGGGGAGCACCCTGCCACCTTCACCCAGGGCCGCATCTCGGGCCGTTCCTGCCAACGGTTCTTGGGAGCACGTTTTGAAGCCTCCCGATGTGGGTCATAGCAGAGGAGGTCTCCTACCCCTTCCCTTGCTCCCTGCCTCCTCCTAGCTGTTTTCTTTCTTACTCCGAAGATGTGAAACTTGAACGAGCACTTGGAGGTCACCTTGAGGACATCACTCCCAAACAGCGTTTGCTTAGTTTGTGCACACTGACTGTGACCTCCAGGAGGAGGTCTGTAAGAAGCAGGGGGGGGGTCATTCTGGAGCACAAGGCACACCCCTCAGGGCCAGGACTGGTCCAGCACAGACAGGGGCTTCGCCTTCTCTCGGCATCTCCCACAGACCCACTTCTCCACTCCTCCTGCCGCAGCCCAAGCCCACAGCCTCATGCCTGGGTTCTTCCAACAGACTCAGCAGCTCCTGTTGCCACGCCCTGGGCATGCTCATGCCACCCCGGTGTTTTCTTGTGGAATCTGCACTTCCCTAGTGGCCCCTGTAGTGGTTGATACATTGTGTCAACTTGGCTGGATGTGCACGGGGCTCTGGGGCACAATTGGTTCTGCCCCCAAGTGACTCAGCACGAAGAGACCACATAAAGGGGCTGAGGAAGGAGCCGATGTTCCACTTTCAGTCTTTCCATTTGGCTTGGACTTCATCGCCTGGCTTGCAACGCAGACTTCCGTTGCAAACTCTTCAGCGTCCATCGCAGACTCTTTAGCTGATGAATAGAGACTTGCATGGAGCACAGCAGTGAGCTTCAGACCGTGGGACTGAATTCTTCAGTCTGGGCTTCCTCATCTGACTGTGGCTGGCTGTCCTAAGCCGATCTTGTAATTCCTTATACACTGTTTATCTTGTGTTAATAGCTGTTCCTTATGTTATATCTGTTCCTCTAAGTGAAACCCTGACCAGTACAGCCTCCTTCCCAGGGGTAGACCCTCTACGGCTCCCCACTGCCTGTGGGTCAGCACTCCACATCTGGTCTTGGGTCACGCGCTTCGCCACAGCCTGACTCCTCCCTGAGGGCTGCGCAGCACACAGCTGGCTGTCTGCTAGTGTCACTGTCCTTTGCCCTCTCTGTTCCATGGCCCTGGGATGTATGTACCCTCCTGCCCAGACTAGCCGCGCCAAGCACCCGCACCCACCACGTGAGGCCCAGATCTCTTCCCAGGGAACTGCTGGTACCTGGAGGGGTCTTCATCTCTCTTTTTCTCCTCTTTCCTACTTCCCTGTTATTCCTCTTTTGGAGCTGCCTCAATTTCTCCAAGCCTTCATTGAGCTCCTAACCCATATCCGATGCCAAACAAACAGAAACAACGAGGAGCCAGCGAGCAGAAGCCATCCTGAGAGGCTACGGCTGTCTCTCTCCCAGCATCCCCAGCGCCTGGCCCAGCGTGTGCACAGCAGGCGCCTCTGTGCTGGTAGTGGGCGTGGTCTAGATTGTCACCTGAAATCTGTGGTCCCTGTAAGAAAATTGCTTTTGCCTTATAAACTACTAAGCAGCAGACCTTGTGCTCAGCACACACAGAAGGAGAGAAGGGAGACAGAAACTGCAAAGGCAGAGTCTCGGGGATCCCGGCTTTAGGAGGAAGAAGGCCGCCGAGCTATTCCCAGGAACTACGGACGCCGGGGCTGGGTCCGTGACTGGACTGCGTGCCAGTTTGCATCAGTCATCAGGGTGCAAGTTTTAGAGGCGAACTAAGTGCTACCACTTGGAGTGTAAAGGTCCCCTGATGGCCTTCACCTAGCCTGGTTTGACTTAAGATTTTTTTTCACTTTTCAAAAATATAGGCAGGATGTGCATGCAGTAGAAACTGCACCATGACTTAAAGTTGGAGCTTTTCCTGGGCTAGCAATGTAGGGTCCAGTTCTCTTTCACAGTGATGGCCGGGGCAGCAAGCACAGCTACCAGGTAGCCGCTTGGTCACAAGGGACGCTATGGTGCTGTGGTGTGAGGTGGTGAGGTTTGGCATGCTCGGTGTAGCACATGCACTTCCAGTTTAAGATATTTT